AGGACTAAACCACAGTGATAACAGCAGTAACACCACCCTTCACAGCAAGTCCAGAGGTCTCCCTGTGCATGTTGAGGAAACATGCTATGTGCAGAGATGTGTCTGTGCTCCTGCCCGGCTGAGGCTGAGAGTGGAAGAGGGTATGAAGACCCTATTAGAGGTATCCCTTCTCTTATGGAAGGAATCAATTTTTAAAAAATAGAAACTAAAACTACCAGTCATTATTATGAAAGATTCACACTAAATCTCCTTCTCCCTCCTGTCCAGAGGCAACAGAAAAGTAGATAAACGTTGACATACAGACTGAAGCTCTGGGAAGAAGCCCAAGTTCACGTAAGGAAAGAAGCAATCAAGGGCAATTCACTTAAATTGCCTCTGACGGTACAGCTGAACTCACCCTTGTGAAATATGCATAAATATTAGAAAAGAGAAGGGGAGAAAAAGGCAAAGGAAACGTGCAAACAACAAATGAAGGAGCCCATTTAGAAGAAAACACACTCCCAGAGTGGATTAAAGGTTTTCAAAATAAATTATTTGCTGCTGTAAGAAATTAAGAATATGAAATCTGCAAAAACAAGAAATACGCATGAGATGACAGGAGATAGAACAAGATTGAAAAGGGAATTTACAGAGTTCAAGGAACATACTGATAGCCAACACCTGGGAATAAATAAATAAATTAGCAACACTGAGAAACAGAATAGACAGTTGTAAATATAAACAATAACACTGAGGAATGGCTTCAGGTAACTGCAGAGAATCAGAGGTTAAATAAAAAGAGATAGAAACCAAAATTTAGACAACAAACTTAATATTATTCCCTAAATGTAATTCGTCTTATTCCAATAATTCTGCAGTTGCTCAAAAATATCTTCAGTACACCTTCTTGGCAATTTTTTTTTTTTTTGGAGAGATTTTTCGTTATAGGGCGCGTGCGCTCGCCAGACAGACAGAGATAGACAGAGAGACAGAAAGCGAGAAATCACCCCCCAGAGGGGATGGTCATGCTGCAATCCCTTCTCCTCCATTCTCCTCTCGGGATCTTGGGCACACACGCACACACGCCCGGCATGAGTTTAAGCCACTGGGTCCGGGACGCGAACCGCAGTCGACTACGAGGGAGTCCAGCGACATAGCCATCACGCTAACTGCTGGTTCCCCTTGGCAATTATTTTTTAAACTAAGTTACTATTTTAATTCAATAAAAGAAAACTAGCTTTTTCTTTCTCTTTTTTTTTTTTTTTTTTTTTTTTTTTTTTGAGAGGTTTTTGCTATAGGGCCCGTGCACTCACCAGAAAGACACAGAGAGACAGAAAGCGAGAAATCACCCCCCAGGGGGGATGGCCATGCACAATCCCTTCTCCACCATTCTCCTCTCGGGATCTTGGGCACGCACACGCACCCAGCGAGAGTTTAAGCCACCGGGTCCAGGACTTGAATGGCAGTAGACTACATGGGAATCCAGTGACATAGCCATTACACTAACTGCTGGTCCTCATTTTTTCCTTTATTTCTATACTTCATTTCTGATGCAAAATATTAGGTTGTTGGGAAAGTCATGATGAATTTTTCTGTTTCTCTATGCAAAAATGCATCATAACTTCTCTGATGACCGAATAGTATCATCTACTACGGTAAGTGTTTGACACATAGTAAGCAAATAATTTAATAGCTCTAATTTATGTGGCACGCATAAACCTGGCACTGTTCTACAGCTTTATAAGTATATGGAACCACTTGGTCTTTATAATCTCCTCCTATGAAATAAGTACTATTGTTATCTCTGATTTCAGTTGAGGGAACTGAGGCATGGAGAGATTAGTAACCTGTCAATGTCACATAAAAATCATTTGACAGAGCTGAGATTTCAACCCAGGCATCTGGTTCCAGAGCCTGAACTTTTAGTCTCACAAGAATATTTATTAAATGACTGAATGATCAACTACCTTTTTTGTCCAACTTAATTCCAAACAACCTTTGGTTCTTTGTCTTCTCTTAAGGATGTGGGACAATTCTGAAAATTAGATATAAAAACTCTAGTTGATTTTTCAGATGAGTCTCACTTCAATACACTTACAGCTCTTAACTCTGGTTTTTCAACTGTAGGACACACTATTCAAAATCTTTATAAAGCATCCTACCCAACCTTTCGCTTTGCATCTTCAGACACAGGATAAGGTAACTCACTCTCTCCCTAAGCAAAGTAAAGCATCAAAACCCATAAGAGGCCAGCCACAAAACCTTATGAAACTCCATCTTCAGGACAAGGCAAAACAGAAGAGCCTGGAATGAGGAGAGCTGGAAGAGTCTAGGGGCTTTCTGGGTGGCAGAAAGGGCAGCAGAAGAAAGAGGCAGGGAGCAGAAAGAGAAAGGCCAACAGAATAGCAGTGTCTACTGGGGGGCTACAGACCTGGGTTCGCTCCAGGCCTCCAGCCTGTTAGACAGTTACAATCAAGAAGACAGAGGTAGTTCAAAAGCTGCCAGGCTGATCCATCCTAATCAGCAACCCAACCACACAGGGAGACAGGCTGACAAGGGCCAGGCAGTTTTTCGAAACCCTTGAAACTGGGATTCAGGACCAAGATATAGTCCTGGCAGAAAACCAATTAGAAATGTTATCAGAAACCCAGTCAAATAGACAAGTATACACAAGAGGCAAGTGGCTCCCCTGGGGTCCTAGTATCTGGGTCCAGAGCAGAAGGCCAATTCCACACTCAGGAAGAAGGGGGAGTCCCTGGTGGAGTATGCCTTATCTGCACTTGTCCAGTGCCCATGGGGGCGGGTGGCTACACTCTGATGTCCCCAGAGAAAGGATGAAGATTATCTCCTATGTGAGGATGCTCGGCCATGGTTAGGTACATAGACTCTCATAAAATAAAATATTAGGGAACCAGCAGTTAGCGTAATGGCTATGTCACCAGACTCCCACTTAGTCGACCGTGCTTTGCGTCCCGGATCCGATGGCTTAAAACTCACGCTGGGTACGTGTGCGTGCATGCCCAGGATCCTGAGAGGAGAATGGAGGAGAAGGGATTGCGGCGTGACCATCCCCTCTGGGGGGTGATTTCTCACTTTCTGTCTCTATGTCTCTCTCTGTCTGTCTGGCGAGCGCATGCGCCCTATAGCAAAAAAAAAAAAAAAACTCTCCAAAAATAATAATAATAATAATAATTTTAAAAAATAAAATAAAAAAATAAAATACTAAAGGTGGCCCTCATTTACTTAAAGTACCTACTTAGAAATCCTACAAAAGAAAAGATGTCTGAAAGACAGGTCTGGCAGAACCTTTGCAGAGACAACAGTGTCCTTGTTAATATTTTGAGGTGACAATGGAGTGAAACATCTTCAGTTTCTGAGACATGTTTCTAAGTTAATGCCAGTGGCTATCACACAGAGCTCTTTTCTGAACATATCAGATTTAAATGGTTTTCCTTTTTTTTTGGAGGGGGGAGAGGTTTTGCTACAGGGCACGTGTGCCCGCCAGAGAGACAGAGAGACAGAAAGCGAGAAATCGTCCCCCAGGGGAGATGGACACGACACACTCCCTTCTCCTCCATTCTCTTCTCGGGATCTTGGGCACACATGCACACGCGCCCGGCATGAGTTTAAGCCACCGAGTCCAGGACTTGAACTGCAGTCGACTACATGGGAGTTCAGTGACACAGCCATTACTCTAACTGCTGGCCCAGGATTTTAACTGTGTTTTAATTTACCTTAACAGAGGAACTACAGTGTATAAGATGAACTGACTTAAAAAGAGAAGAACGGATCTTAATGCATAAGCAGTCACTCCTTGGTAAAAAGATATGAAGTGCTCTCTCTATGAAAACAAATTTGCATAGTACACACATCTGTTTTAAAGAGGAAACATCATAAAAGACGGAGCACATACAAGGCTATATAATTTAATTAAAGTACTTTATAACACGTAAGGATGGTCAGCAGGCACTTAGCCACCAACACAACTCCAGGAACTTGCTACTTCTGTAAAACTCTCTAAGGCAGCCACTGTCCACCACCAGCACTCCCTGGAACATGACCCTTCCTGGGTCTTAATCTTCATTAAATTCTCCTCCTCCTCCTCCTCCTCCTCCTCCTCCTCCTCCTCCTCCTTCCTCTCTTTGAGCTCAGATAAGAACAGTAAATGAGGGAGATGCAGAAATGGGAGATGTAACCTTCACAAGAGGTTCCCACACATAGCAAAGATTAGTTTGTCATGCTAATATAAAGAAAGAGTGGAAATAATTTTACATCTGATTACTGCACTTTTGGTTCTCTATTATTTGGAAGCTGTAGTTATCCCCCCCCCCCATAAGTCAGAAGCCTAAACAAAAAAGTAAAACCAAAACAGATGTGAGGGGATACTCCAATGCAAATGTTTAGCGGGCATATTTACCACTACACAGGCACAGTCTGGTATAAATATTACTTTTTTAAAAAACATTGTTTACTAAATCTTAAAGTGCCTCCCTGCGTTCAGGAATGGCCTAAGAGACTCCTGTCTTGTCCTCTCCACAAAGTCAAATCCCCTGCTGTGCCTCCTTAGTGCCGAAATGTCCTTTTCATCCTCTTGTCTGTCAGCCCCCTCCACAACCCCCACACATTCTGCAGGCGCTGCGTGCTGCAGGGTGCTTAGGAGTTCATTTGCGATTGGGGAGGAGGGAGTATTATTTTCCGCTGTGTGACATTTCTATCTGATGTGAATCTCCTAATCTTATTTTTTGCACTTTGGTCACCCATGGAACTTCCTCTGCGTGCTGGATGGGTGGCGACAAGACTTCATAAATGAATATAACGCTACACCAAGTTTGATGAAATAAGGTCTGTAACCATTTCCTTTTCCTTAATTTAAATAAAGAAAAAGCAAGCCTGCAGTACGGCAGTAAGCGGTCTCCACAGCGGTCACCTGCGCCTTGGCACTCACGAGCCTCTGCAGGACTGGGCGAGCGCCCAGTCCCGGTCCCACTATCCACATGCACCTGGCCCCCACGGGTCCTTACCGTGTGCTGGGCACCCTCGACGGACCCCACCGGGCTGGAAGCCGCAGAGAGCTAGAGCCGAATCCCAGCCCGCAGAGGCAGCGGCGCGCAGTGGATCCTCTCGTAGCGCTCGGTCAAGGCCGGGGATCGTTGTCCCCTCCGCGCTGCATTTAGGAGGTGGGAGGAGCGGTAGGGCACTGAATACAGGAAATCTGATAGGTGAAGAGGCAGGCTAGCGGAGAGGGAGGGGAGCTTGGGGCGCTGGGGCGCTAGGGCGCTAGGGCTCTGGGCGCGCTGGGGCGCGGCGGCGCGCTGGAGAGGCCCAGGAGTGCCTGGAATCCTGGCAGCTGCAGGGCTAGCTCCTCTAAGTGGCAAGACCTCCTTTCTAGAGCCAGGGGAAGATGCAGGAACTGTCATCAAATGTTCCGTCTCAGAAACCCCAATGGAAAGAGCATTCTTCACAGAGTACCAGAAATTCACTAGGGTGGAATTTGCTCAGATCCCCTTAGGCGGGTTCTTTGGGTTTACAGCCCTGCTTTCCCAGGGGACCATCCCAAAGTTAACTTTGGAAACACTCTGTACAGAGACGGCAAGGGGTCCTGTGCTGTCAAACGCAGATGACTCCAGTCTCTTTTGAAAAGGAAATGCTATTTTCATGACAAAGTTTTGGTTATAAGCACTGAGTCAAGGTCAAATGACTGTGGAGCGCCACGGGGCTGTTTAATCCTTAGGACAACCAAGTGAGGCAGGTACTAATACAATTCCATTTTACGGAGGGGGAAACTGAGGCAATGGTACGTTTAAGAGCTTGTCCTGGGTCCCACAGCTAGCCACAGGCAGAGCCCAAGTTGAATGGGAATACATTGCAGTGCGGGGAAGGGGAACAGAAGATGATGCTTGTAGGACCCCACCTTGGCAGGAAAAACAAACATACAATATTTATTACTAAAATATGCATTTTTAAGAGTTGATTACATATCATTTAATCCAATGATGTTCCTCTCTGACTGTACAATGAAATCTCCTGGAAAGCTTCCAAAATTCCCAGTTGTCAGGTGTCTACTCCCAGCAAAATTAATCTGATTTATTTTCTTTCATGCGCTAAGGGAAATGAGCTGATGCTGGTGGAGAAACCCCCAAAATTTAGGAAGACAGAATCCAAAGCCTACAAGATGTAGAATCTTCCGGAGAAAGGAAGATTGGAAAGCAGAAAGCAGAGAGTTGGAGGGAGGGTGCTGCCAAGTGTCTGACAGGGAGCAAGGCAGTAGCAGGGAGTTGAAGGGAGGGTGCCGGTAAGTGCCTGACGCTGAGCTACGCAGAAGCAGCGTAGCACTCGCACCAGCCCAGTTATTAAACTCCTACGCAGTTCTGTTCGCAGGCCTCCTACAGCTACGGTTTCCTGGGGTAACCAAATGTCCTGACACGCTCACAGCAGAGCAGATCCAGGCCCTTGGCAGCCATTAGGTGGGGCTGAGACCAGCCTAAAGGCTGAAGGAGGTAAGCCTGCCTGCCCTCTGCAACCTTGTTCTCCCCCTCCCAAGCCCTTCCTGCTGCCTCCCTGGGCACCTCCATACTAACCAGCCATGTGAGCTCTGACTTCTGACCTCTGTCAGTCAGAGCTCACATGGCTCATCCACTAGCTTAGGGCACTTGAGAGACTATGACACAAGGCAGATTTCTTTTTAATAGAGGTGAGGGGAGCAAGGAAGTTTTAGGACCCAGGGAAAGGGCTGGTGGAAGGCGGGACTGAGGATCCCACTCTAAGGGGCAGAGACCCAGAATCACCCCCCAGTTGAGAACTGCTACTCTAGTAGAAAGGAATGGGATCCAGCCACAGAAGTAGCTACAGAAGACATGTATTAATGAGTGTCCATTGGGAAAGAGACCTTTATCAGAGATTAGAAGATTCCACTACATGAAGAGGGCCATAGTCAAAATCCACTGCCCCTTTCCCTCTCTGACATTGTGGTAGATGTTCCTCGTGTTTGTTCTCTGCCTCCCTTCCAGGACAGGACTTCAAGAAACCACTACCTACCCACAGAGGCCTCAGACCACTACTGGTAAGAAACCAGGCCACACAGCAGGAGTTGAGTGGAGGCAAGCAAATAAAACTTGTCTGTATTTACAGCTACTCCCCACTGCTCACGTTGCCCTCTGAGTTTCATATCTTGTCAGATCAGCTGTTTCATTAGATTGTGAACTGCACATGCGAGGGATTTAGGTTGCCTGTTCCGTATGAAAATCTGATAACCTGATGATCTGAGGTGGAGCTGAGGTAGTGATGATCATGCTGGGGAGTGGCTGTAAATACTGAATTATGGCAAGTTGTATAATTATTTCATTATATGTTACATATAATAATAATAGAAACAAAGCACACAATAAATGTAATGTGCTTGAATCATCCTAAAACCATTTTCCACTCCCATTTGTGGAAAAATTGTCTTCCACAAAACCAGTTACTGGTGCCAAAAGGTTGGGGACTGCTGTCATAGAATACAGCCAGCAATACTGGCTGAATAGATAAGTGAAGAATGAGGAGATGGCATCAAGGTGCAGTGACTGGAGGGACTAGAGAAAGTGGGGGCTCATTTGTACTGCTGGGTGGAGTTGAATGGGGTGGCAGTAAAATCTAGCAGAGACCCTCTGCCACCAAAAAGAACAGATGAGCCCTCAGTTTCCCCATCTGTTGAAAAAAATGAAAATTCCCCAACTGACAAATTAATAATGGATGTACTAAAAATAGGATACCTTTCTAAAGATCTTCGAACACTAGGTCCATTACAGTTTTTTAAGGTTTTTGCCATAGGGTGCATCTGCTTATAGGAGACAGGGTGAGAGAGAAAGTAAGAAATCACACTCCCCTCCCCGGGGCGTGGCTATGCCACAATTCCTTCTCCTCCATTCTCATCTTGGGATTTGGGACACACACACACATGTGCCTGGTATGACTATCAAGCCACTGGATCCTTAAAGATAAAAACCTTAAGATAAGGTTTTAATTTCAATACTTAGGATATTTTGCGGTATGGAACTGCACATGGACTCCAGGCTGAATGGCACCAGAGACCTAGTGATTACACCCTCCCAGAATTGAAATTGATCACCTAAGCCCCTGCCAATCAATATGGCTCATGAGAACATGAATCATGGAACAGACCACACATATGAGACCCCTAACCTTGATTTTTTTCCTTAAAGAAAAAGGCATGTGGAGAATTCTTCAAATAGACTGGGCCTTTTCAGCATGAGCTGCCTGCTCTCCTTGCACTATGCATTGCAATAAAGCTGTACCTTCCTTCCTCACACGCGTGCCTACAGTTTGGTTCATGTGCCTGGGCGAGCTAACTTGATTTGAGTTCAGTAACAAGAAGCAAAAGGCACAACCCAGGCCCAGCCATGATGATGCAGGCAGTAGGCGCTGTGCTGCACAACACTGGAGACATGTGGGAAGCTCTAGGTTCATTTCAGGGTCTTCCTGAACATGCACGCTAGACTTGCTGCAGGTGTGCCTGTCATTCTGGCTGGCTGCAGGGTTTGGGGAAGGATAGCAGTGTGAGGGCCCCGTCAAGGGTGCTCCTCTCTCTCTCAAAAAGTAAAGACATTTTTTTTTTTAAATCCAGGCTGGTCCATTCCTCTCTTCCTAGTGACAGCTGGAGGCTGGAGACTGTTTGCTGGTCTCCATCCATCTCAGGGAGGCTTTTCAGATCTACAGCAGTTTTCTGAACGTAAAGCTAGGCTGTGGTAGAGCAAAGTGAAGGGTGGTGGGAACTGAAAGCCTAGCCTGCAGGAAGTGACTGCTGCTTTGAAGGGGTGGAGTATGAGCCTCAGCAGGGCTCCTGCCCTGGGGCTCCTCTGAAGCATATTGCTTCTCCCTCAGGCACGCTTCCCCAAGGGACTAGCCCTACCTTCACACAGGGCTGACTTCCTCTACTGAGTGGGCGCTTTCAGTGAGCTTACTGAGTGTAATTATAACCTCCACCTCCGCAAGGAGGCTGAGGACATCCTTACCAGGAAGGCCCATGTGGCTATAACATGACAATTATGAGACAGGCAGACAGGCAAAGCCATGGCCAATTGGACCCAACACTCCTATAAGTGGAAAGGATAACATCTCAGATAATGAAGGAATTCACCCTCAGAATGGGACCAGAAAAGAAAGGCTACACAAAGGTTTAAAACGGGTCAAATGAACCCAGGGCCAGCCCCAATGTTGCACTGGTAAACACTGCTGCTTCACAGGCAGGAGCCACAGGAGAGGCCTGGGTTCATTTCCTGGCCCACCATAAGGTCTTCATGTGCTGATGAGGACCTTTCACCCCAGCTACTGGTGTGACTGAGACAGGAGGATCACAAGTTGGCCAGAGTAGACAACATAGCAACAACTTTGTCCAAAATGTCTAAATGTGGTGTGGCATGCACCTGTAATCCCAGCTATTCAGGAAGCTGAGACAGGAGGATCTACCCAAAAAAATAAAGTAAGATTAACGGGAGGCTGTGTTTGGGTGGTCTTCATCCACCTCTGAAAAAATAGAGTCCTCCAGCCCTGAGGCTATAGGGAAAATACAGTAATTAGTCTATAAACCTGCCTCAGTGAGATTTTTGTTTCGTATTTTCAAATAGTTTTTTTCTTTTTCTCAGGATTATCCCAGAAAAATGCATCTTTATGGCACACTTACAATCCAAGGATAATTAGAAAATGACTACTGGGGCCTGCAGGTGGTATAGTGGTTAAGGCACTGGACTTCTGTACAGCCAACTGTAGTTCTAATCCTGGACCTAGCAACTTACTTTCTCTTTCTTTCTCTCTCTCTCTCTCTCTCTCTCTCTCTCTCCCTATAGCAAATTAAAATAATAATAATTAATAAATAAAATTTTTTTAAAAAGAAAATGACTACTGGCTTTCAGCTGTTGGACTGGCTATTTAGACTGTAACAAATCTTGAGCACAGGACACCACCTTCACTTAGGGCTGTACTTTCCTTGCCATCTCTGCCCAGTCCCACAGAATTTTAACCTAAGCAGATTCTAAGGTCTCAGGAGAAAAAAAAAAAAAAAAGAGGTTCATCCAGAATCTTCGGGACTGAAGTTCTAGACCAGGGAAAGGAATCATGGGTGGGAACACAAAGAACTTGGTCAATCTGGTTCTACCACCTTCTCTACCTCTCACGTTCTTCATCTGCACAGGGGACATGGTAACTAGATTGTTTCAAGGGTGCGACCAGAGGCTGAAGAACTTCTGTAACA